CCTCCCGAAAGCCAGCTCGCTTGAGCCAAAATGGCTACGGAGGAGGAGGAGGAGGAGGAAAAAGGGAGGAGGAGGAGGAGGAGGAGAAGGAGGAGGAGGAGGAGGAGGAGGAGGGGCGAGGAGGAGGAGGAATAATGGCGAGGAACAGCAGCAGAAACATGACCAGGAGTGGGAGGAGCGGATGCATCAGCGATGCATCGGCGATGCGGCTCGAAGTGGAGCCCGACTTTCTCCACGGCGCCGTCGTCGATGCATCGCAAACGTCGCCGATACGTCGCCGATGCATCGGCGATGTATCGGCCATGCATCGGCGATGTATCGCCGATGTGTCGGCGATGCATCGGCGATGCGACGCGATCCTTCGACCCCATCTACTCGCACCCCATCTGGGAGGCCCAGAGAAGAAAACCCGCGCTTGTGCGAGAGTTCCATGCTGAACGACCAGAGCAAAGCGCCGATCCGAAATTGAGGCCGACGTTGCAGCGCAGCGGGAGTACCGAAGCACTGGAAAAATCAAAATCCAATGTCGAAAGCAGCAAACATCTAGCATAGTTTCCGAACTCCTGTGTAGGAACAAAAATGAACGGACAAGGCGCAATGCCGACGGGACGTCGTCGGAAGAGAGACGAGAGTACTGCCCATATTAGGCAAATTCAATGGGGGGAAACGGCGGGAGGCTGGAGGGGGGGCAGGGGGGAAAGGAAGGGAGGGGAGGCAAGGGAGTGGAGGCGGGAAGATGAGAGGATATTGAGTGAGGACGGACGAGGACGGACTCGAGAGGCGGAGGGACTGGGGAGGGATGCGAGCGAGAGGAGGCGAAGATGATCGGGGACGCACTGGCCCAGGTCAATGCAAACCCGGGTCAGTCATGCCAAGATCCTGCAAGATCCTGCAGGATCCTGCGCGCTAGCCTTGGTCAGTGCAACCCTGGCTCTGCGTGATCCTGCGAGGTCTGGCGCTCTGGCTGACCCCCGTTTGCATTGCCCCTCGTCTCGAGGTTCCCGACATTAGACGAGGAAGACGAATGGATGAGGGAGCCGGCCCGAGTTCGACAGTCCAAACGTCCGAGCTGATCCTGTGCCTCCTCCCCATCCGTGTCGTCGTCGCCGTCCTCCTCCCTCACAGTCCTGCCATCCTTCTCATTTTCTACATTCGCTTGTACGGCTGCCGATCGCCTAAAGTGTCCGTACATGCTACTTTCCGCTCGTAGACTCCGCCACTCTGCCAGCGTGTTCGTCATCAGGGCATACACATCATGCGAGAAACAACAAATGTGCACAAATACAATTAGCGTAACAATCCTTCTGCGAAGTGGAAGACCAGATTACCAGATCCATCAGAGATATTATAAGCCTCAGGTACGTGTGAGGCTCGTCATGAACGGGACAGTGATTGGGCTAGTCAACCAAGTCTAGGATTTGAAAAGCCTCGCCGTGAATCCTAACATTCATTCCAAATCAATGCTTCTTCTGCGCTTAAACTTGCGATGATGTGGTCCGTGCTGCATTACAAGTCAGTGTTACCGACCAAGGCACGCAAGTTCTGGTCGCGTCTGAAGACCCACTGCGTTTGAAGGAGGTGCCGTCGTTTCCGAGCACTCATTTGGGGGCTGGTGATCTCCTCCGCCAGCGCTCGGCCTCATGTGCAAACCCGTGGGTTATGTTTGGTATTCTTGACAACTCTCGACCCCTGGGACAACACCAGCACTTCGGGTGCCCTCCTGCAGCCGCCTGCGCCGACAGTAGGTAGACATGTATGTAAACATATATATATATACACATATACATATAACAGGCACACACACGCGCACACATGTGCGTGCGCGCAGTCCTGGTGCGCATGCCTGCGTACACGCAAACGAGGCTTACGGGGGAACACCGGACACACTTGGGATGCAGAGATGCAAGCACGCAGACAGCGGGGAGCTTGGACGACAAGGTACCAGACTGGAGGATGATGCGATTATGCTGACCTGTCTCTTCGCTTTAGCAGAGCCTTTGCCCACATATCCTAGACTGAATGCCATGCCGACAAGATCGCTGGCTGCATCCTATCAGGCGAATGATTTGCACTGTCAGCGAGCACCGCGCAGCAAGTGTCCCCGCTCCCCATATCTGCACCTGGCACCGCCACGGGCATGCCCCTTGCGTTTCTTCTTCATTCTGAGTGTGGTGTCATGCCGTCTCCCAACACTATCCTTGCTCCGTGCTTTCCACTGCTGCTGCGGCTGCTGTTCCTCTTCCTCCTCCAAACCATTTCGGCTCCAGCTGGCGATTGGAGCCTGTCGCCTTTTTCTTCGAAATTGGGAGCAGCACAGTATTCGAAGTGGCACTGCTCTCCCGAGCCAGAGAGATGTCAAGCCATGGCACCTGGGACTGCGCCGCCTGCGGCGCGAAGGGGTGCTGGGCCAAGCACAAGCGATGCTGGAAATGCTGGGAGTGGCGGCCTGGCAAGGGCGGCAGCAACACCCGCCGGGAAGGCAATCAGAAGGAGGATGACGATCAGCATCAACCGGCACTGGACACGGACGCCCGCGAGGAGGCGAACAAGAAGCTGGCGACTCTTCGGAGTCGCGTGCGCGACCTGCGCGCGCAAGCCGCCGAAGACGGTATGTCTTTCCTCGGCGAGGCAACAGACAACGTGCAGGAGGAGGTCCGCCGCCTGGAGGCCCAGAACGAACAGACCATCCCGAGATGCTTCGCGCAGGCACATGTGGAGAGAGACCGCCGCAAGGCAGAGCAGGCGAGGGACCGCATCAAGAATAATATCAAGTCCCTCAACGAGAAGGCCGCCGACATCCAGAAGGAGCTGGCGGAAGAGCAGACCAGACTGGAGCGCAAGGAGAAGTGCAGCCAGGAGCTGGAGGCGAAGGGCACGAAGCTAGAGCAGGCCACACCGCCTGACGCGGAAGGGGGCAGTGGAGTAAGGCAGCCCACCGCCTGGAGCAGGCGGCGACGATGCTGCAGTCCATGGACCCCGCGGACGAGGAGGTCAAGTTAAGGCCAAGCAGGAGGCGGTCACGGACGCCCTCGCGGTGGTCAAGCGGTGCGAGCAGACGCAGGCTGAGGCCGCGGAGTCCCAGCAGCACCAGCTCTCCGCCTCTCGCAAGCGCGGCGCTGAAGCCGCCGCCGCCGCCGCGGGAGGCGACGGGAAAACGTGCATGGTCGCCATCCCCACCAAGGCCACCGCCGAGCAGGTCAAGCAGCTCCTCCTGCCGCACTGCAAGGCCGAGGAGACGGAAAAGCACGCAGCCGCCGTGGCTTCGGCTGACCTGCAACCTGGCTTCACTTTGGAGCTGCGCGTGCCGTCTCGTTGACGTCCTGCAGCTTCCGGGCAAACAACACATCCTGACGGCCAATGCAAACACGGCCAGGTCCTTGGAGCGCGTGCTGGGGCTCGCGAGCACCAAGGCCGTAGTGCTGGGCCAAGGAGTTATCCATGTGCAGGGCCGACTCATGAGAGTGGTCGCAGCGCATGGCAAAGCAGGGGTGGAAGACAGCAGTGGTCCCCAGTGTGCGCACTGAGGACGGAGGTTGGAGTGCGGGCACGACCATGGCAGTGCCCAGGCACATCGCCATGAGCTGCGTGGGCGGCAGCCTGCGGGACTCCTGGGACGCGTCGCCGCCTGAGAGCCCAGGCCGCCTGGCGGCGGCATGGGTCGACGCCGGCGAGCCTGGCGGGATCCTCGTGGGCTCGCGCTGCCTGAGCCACTCGGAAGGCCCGACGACCAGGAACCTGGCGGTGCCGGCGACCTTCGGCGCGCCGGCGGGCGCGGCCGCCGCGGCAGTGCAGTGGGCCCTCGGGGGCGACCTCAACACGGACCCCGAGCGCCTGGAGGAGACCGGGCGATCGACAGGCTGAAGGGGGTCATCGTCCGACCGAGCGAGGGAGCGAGGGCGCGCGCCAGGTGCCCAAGAGGGAGGCCAGCACCCGCGGCTGCTTCATCGTCTCGCGGAGACCGGCGCAGACGGAGCATGCGACGGCGGAGGAGGACCTGGCCATGCGCGCCAGATGCAGCCCCCCCTCCCCCGTCGCCTGCTGGCCGGGCGAGCGAGCTCCAGCCTACAGAGTGGTGCAGTCGGCGAAGGTCCCGCGCTGGCCGCTGGACATCCCGCAGGGCTGCGCAGCCTCCCCTGTCGAGCGGCCCAGCGGGCCCGACCTCGCGGGCGACGCCGCGCAGGAGGAGGCCGGGGCGCGCACTGGAGGAGCGCCGCGAAGGCCTCCGAAAGCAACTCGGACCGCTGCCACGGCCTCGCAGGCGGCCACCCGGGGCGGAGGCACGGGCCACTTCCACAGACGGAGCAGTTCAGGGAGGTCACCATGGGCTGGACCTAAGCGCCGTTCTGCTGGACTTCGGCCGTGTCTTGTCCTTCGTTCTGGGAGGGAGGTGTAGGACAACAGGCAGAGCAAAAAACGGACAACAAAACGGAAGCAAAACGAAACACAACGTTCAGCTCCAGCCCTGGAGGTCGCCTTGGCGCCCGTGCGCCCGCCGCCCCAGAGGAGCTCCCACCGCACGGGCGGCCGCGCGACGGAGCTGGCGCGCCTGGCGCGCGCCAGCCCGGGGGCCGCGCCCCGCTCAGGAGGCGGCGCCGGGGGTCCCAGAAGCCTCGACCTGATGGGCCTGTTTTCCACCACCACCAGCATAAGTTGGAGGGGGAGGGGGTCCTCTTCCTCCTCCTCCTCCTCCTCCTCCTCCTCCTCCTCCTCCTCCTCCGCCTTCCCCCCTCCAACTTATGGTGGCGGTGGTGGTGGAAAACAGGCCAATCATCGACCGCCCTCCTGGACTCGGTACGCACTGGCCAGGGCGACTGCGAATGCACAAACATTGTCCCTGACAGAAGCCCCCCCCCTCAAGGGCCCTTAGGGGGGAAGTTCTCCAGAAGCATAGTTTCTCAAGGCTCCCGGGAGCATCAGGATGCGGCGCTGCTGCCGCGTGCCAGCCAAACACGTGGCAGCGGCAGCTCAGACTCAACAAGGCGTACCAGGAGGTAGTCAGCATGGACCTCGCGCCTTGGACAGCCGCGGAGGAGGGGACGGCGCGGGCTCGGCCTGGGGACCCCTCTGCAGACGACTGGCAGACCATGCAATGGGTGGCCACCAACATCGGCGACGCCAACGCGACGCTGCAGGACGGCGCGCCGTACCTGCACAACTGGGCGCTCGCGGCGGGCGACCTTGCTGAGCAGGAGCGCAAAGCTGCCCGTGCCGGGGCGACAAAGGAGTGGCGGCAGTGGGCCTACGCACACAGCACAGGCGGCCCTCGACGCCGTGGGCGCCGCCGGCGCCTCCCCCGGCGACGCCGGCAGCGCCACGCTGTGGCGACCCCCAGCTGGCGGCGGACAAGGTCATGGAAAGCTGGGGGGTGGATGTGTGGCGCATGCCGGCAGGGCAGCATGCCCCGTGGCAGGAGCGCCCGCCGCCAGAAGAGCCGAAGCTGGCACCGCTGGTCCCCGCGGAGGTCCACCAGCACTGCATGGGCCTCAAGGAGCAGGCGGGCCTGGGCGTGGGGCAGTGGCACCCGCGGCTCTGAGCCACAGGAGGCGCCGAGGGCATCGAGCGCATCTTCAGCGTGTTCGACGCGGTGGAGGACGGGGAGCCCTGGCCATCAAGCCAGTCGGACATCCTCTTCTACCACACGCCGAAGGCGGAGGGTGGGGGTATGCGATGCCTTGGCATACTGCCCGAGGTGGTCAGGCGATGGGAGAAGTGCAGGCGCCCCATCATCGCGAAGTGGGAGGCCTGCCACAGGAGAGACTACGACTGGTCGAGAGCTGGGCGTAGCAGCGAACGCAGCGCCCGGATGCAGCAGCTGTTCCGCGAGGCCGCCGTGGTCGACAATGAGAGCCGTGTGATCACCCTGCTCGACCTCGTCACGTGCTTCGAGTACGTTGGCCACTGGAAGGTTTGGGAGCCGGGGCTACACTGGGGATTCCCCAAGCGCCTGCTGCGCGTCGTCCTCCGCATATATGCGATGACCAGGCGTGTGGTACTGGAAGGCGTTTCCACCAGAGTCACGCAGTGCTGGCAGGGCCTCGTTGCGGGGTGGGTCTCGCCCCCGCCTCGCTCGAGTGGGTGCTCGTGAAGGAGCTGGATACCATCCAATGGACAACCGCCTCGCTGAGATGTGCCTGTTCTTCGGCGACCTGTCGATAGCGCACATGAGTGAGCGGACCTGGGTGGCAGCGGGACATGCGAGGATGGTTCGCCTCGTTATCGACCGCCTGGAGAACGAACTCGAGATGCCAGCATCCCTGGGCGAGAAGGGCAAGACAGCGCTGCTGGCCTCATCCACGGCGCTGTCCAAGGATCTGGAACCCATGACCCGGAAGATCGGGATCAAGACTGTGAGCCAAGCCAAGCATCTCGATGTCACAGTCTATGCAGGCCGTCGCCGTCGCGTGTCCGCCGTGCAAAAAAGAATCTCGAAATAGAAGAGCCGGGGGAAAAAGGTTGCGAGAGTGAAAAAGGCTGGAGGCCAGACGCATAAGCCAATGACAGCCGGTGCAGTGCCTTCTATGTTACACGGGTCGAGGGTGGTTGGAGCCCCCACGACCACAGTGCAGCAGTTGCGCCAATCAGTGGCCAGCCCTTTCGGCGGCAGCGTACCAGGGCGATCAACGCCGCTTGTGCTGCTGGGCGAGGGCGTGGACCCCGCCCATGTCGCAAACTCTGGCCCCTTAGTCGAGTGGGCCAATGCAGGAAGGAAGCAGTGAGTGACCCCGCGCTCAACGACCGCCTCACGGTCGCCTGGAAGCGCTGGAGCATTCGCCTATCGCAGTCCCAGCGACCTCGGACGTCGGTTCGAGGTCCTGCGGGCGCGCTTTTGGTCACCACGCGTAGACTTGGCTGGCAGTCCCAGGCGCCCTTCTCGCTCACCATCGGCTCGGTCCGAGCCGACCTGCGCCTCGTCGATGCCTGGTGGCTGCACGCGCAGCGCAGGTAGTGCAGGAATGCGAAGCTCAGCTCCAGGGGGAGTGGACCCGACGCTGGGGGGATGAGGCTGGAATCACTAAAATCTGAATCGAGGCCGTGCGGGCACTGCTGGCCAAGCCGGTGTCCAAAACGTGGACGCCGGAGCACCGCACCCGAGCTCTCACCGTGTTCCGCGGGCGTCGTGTGGAGCCGGCAGCGCCTCCTCGACACGGGGGCGGCCGCCAGCAGCCGGTGCGCCGCGTGCGGTGGAGAGGGGGCTGATGAGCACCGCTGCTCCTGCTGCGCTGCGCGCCAGGCCGCGCGGGGCAGCAGGCTGGGCATCCAGAAGTGCAGCAGCTGGGGGCCACCAGCACCCCCTGTGGCTGTGGCTGCTGATGAATTCCGCTGGGGACGAGGGAACGTGCAGGACCCCGGCACGAAGCTCCCCGATCTCGGTGCTTCTGACAGGGCTTACACGCTAGGTGAGGCCCCGGATTTCATCACGGGTGATGTCTACGCGGACGGCCCGTTGCTGCGGCCCGCACGGCACGCCGCCAAGCGAGCGGGGTGGTGTCTTTCGCGCAGGTCGACGACAGCGGAGGGCAAACCTTCGCCGCGCACGTGCCGCTGCCGCGGCCGCAGGATGAGCGTTCCGATTTCAGAGCAGAGCTGCACGCAGTACGCATGGCACTGCAAGCGGGCATGGTACCGCTCACGACTTGGTCTGACTGCGAAAATGTAGTGGATGGCTTCGCTCACGGTCTGGAATGGTGCACGCGCTGTTCGAACCCGCACGCCAGCCAATAGAAATGGGCCTAGTGCCTTATTTCGGAGTTAGGCGGCCTGGGCCCACAGTGTCACAGGCGGTCCAGATAAACAGTAAAGGCGCATGCCACTGAAGTCGAACGCCGAGCCATAGGCCTGAAACACTACCAGGGCAGTAAGGCCGCCGACAGAGGTGCAAAGCTAGGAGCAGCCTCGCTAGCATACCCAGAATGGCACGTAGAGAATTATCTGCGCACGTTTGAGCTGGTCCAGAGCACTTTGCAAATCAGTGCGAAAATCCTAAGGCTGTCATCCGAGGTAGCTGATACGGTGAAGGACGGGCCGCTGCAAGCCCCGAGTACTAGTGGGACGGGTACTGGGGTCGTGGAGAGTCGTGGGGGGGTCGGGAACGCGGAAGGGGCCTCTGAGGAGGCTGGATGCCCCTCGGTCAGAACCGCCCCCCCCCTAAGGGCGCTCAGGGGGGGGGTCCGAAAACACTTTGGCGAGGCTTCCGGAAGCATCAAGATGCGGTGCTGCTGGAGACGTGGAGCGTCGTGGGGGGGTCGGGAAAGCGGGAGGGGCCTCTGATGAGGCTGGACGCCCCTCGGCCAGGTCTGGAGGGCCACCCGAGTGCCCAGAAGCGGCCCTCGGGGCAGAGCTGGCACGGAGAAGCCGACACCGGCACACACTCCGACCACGCTGTGCGTTCTGCAGCGCGCGCATGCTACGCTCAGCGGCGTTGGCAGGGTCTCCGCAGGAGCGAGCGCAAGGGCCAGCACCCGACCGCGGGGAGGGGCCCCTTTCTACACGGCAGAGGCAGGACCTGCTCATCTTGTGAATTCTGTTTCGGAGCATTATCTTTGGGTGGAGGGCAGGGGGGGGAAGTCTGAAATGCCGTTTCGATGGATTGTCGAGGCTTGAACCTGCGAGCAGTGAATCACATGACGGACTGATCTTCGCGGTGCGAAAGCCCATATGGATTTCACCCTGAGCCCTCCACCCTAAGAAAATGTAAGAAAATGCTCAGTGCTTAGTGCCTAAAATACGATAAAGAAGATCATCACTTGTGAAACCTGGGCCAGCTTTCCGGAAAAAAATTCTTCAGGTACGCCTGGCCAAGTCATGGTGTCAACGCTGGAGGGGGGAACGCGCCCAAGAAACTGAGTCAGCTTTCCGGCAAGTTGGCCAAGAAACGCTGGCCCAGCTTTTCTCAATCAAATGCTCGACTGTATCCTCCTCCTTCTCCTCCTCGCCCTTCGCGGCCAGAGTCACCTCGCCCGTTCGGGGCCAGATGAATCCGCACGCGGGCGGGCGAGTCCAGCAGCGCCCCCTCGTCGGCTCCCCCCCCGCGGATGCCGACAACGGGCGCCTCGCTCGACACGTCCTGGCCCGAGAGAGGAGGACTCACAGCGCCGAAGCGAGCAAACCTCCAGAGACCCCCCCCCTAAGCAGGCCGCGAGGGGGGCGAGCGTAGCACACCCCCTGGCGGCCACCCCTCGGGGTGCTCACGTGCCATGCCTGCTACATCGCGGTGATCATGCGTGGGGTGAGCCTGAGTGAGCAGGTCTGAGTCTGGAGTCTGCCTGGAGTGACCGTTCACGAGCGAACAGGATGCAGACGAATCGGATCTGGGCGAGCCGTTGTCAGTCCGCGTGCAATATCCGTCTCCTCCTCCTCCTCCTCCTCCCCCTCCTCCTCCTCCTCATCTCCCTCCTCCTCCTCCTCATCCTCCTCCTGCCTCCTCCTCCTCCTCCTCCTCCTCTCCTCCTCCTCCTCTCCTCCTCCCTCCTCCTCCTCCTCCTCATCCCCTCCGCCTCCGCCTCCGCTCCGCTCCGCCCCGAGACTCCTCCTCCTCTCCTCCTCCTCCTCCTCCTCCTCCTCCTCCTCATCCTAATCCTCCTACCTCCTCCTCCCCCAGAGCCCTACCCCCCTCCCCCTCCCTCCCCAAGGCCCCCTCCCCTCTATGCCTGGATGCTGCGCCGCCGGACAAAGCCCGACGCCCGCGAACCTCAGAAGTCCCAGGAGCGACGCCTCTTCGAGGCAGGCTGCGCGACGGAGGGCGGTCGCCCGCGACGGGGACTGCCCTGCTGGACGTCGTCGACGACGACGGAGACGACGACCACACGTCGACCACCACATGACGGACGCCGACGCCGGACGCCGACACCGCCGCCGCCGCCGACGACGACGACGAATGCGAGGAGGATGAGGAGGAGAGGGAAGGGGGAGGGGACGGGCGGGACTGCTCCTCTTGCTCCCTCTCCTCCTCCTCCTCCTCCTCCTCCTCCTCCTCCTCCTCCTCCTCCGCCTCCTCCCTTCTCCCTCCTCCCTCCTTCCTTTCCCACTCCCCATCCCGCTGCGTTCCCCCTCCCCCGTCCCATTCTAACCTTTTCGTCGTCGTCGTCGTTATCCTCCTTGTCCGTCTCCTTCTCTTTGACCTCCGTCCTCTCTCCTCCCTCCCCCCACCGATTTCTTCTACGATGGAGAGCGAGGGGGAGGGGAGGGCAGAGGGGAGGGACTGACAGAATGAGGGAGGAGGAAAGATGGAAAGATTATGCAGGAGGGCGGAAAAGGAGGTGGAGGAGACTAGGAGGAGGAGGAGGAGGAGGAGGAGGAGGAGGAGGAGGAGGAGGAGGAGGAGGAGGAGGTAGAGGAGGTATAGGATGACAGGACGAAGAGACGCCTTCTCCTCCTCGAACCCTCGCTGCACTGCCAGGAGCCCCTGCCCTTGTTGGCTCGCCGCATGCCTTATGGCAAACCGGCCGCACCTGGCCGCACGGGCAAAGCCCTACAGGAGGGAGACAGGCACAAGACGGTCCTGGAGAGCCTGTGAGAGCATGCTCAGCGTGGAGCAGCTTGTAAAAATCAGCGGGAGGAGCGGCATAAGCATAAACTGTCGGAGGTCCGCGCGGACCTCCGAGTGCATGTTTCGGCGACTCCATGCAGCCAGCACCCTGGGGAGCATCCTGGGGGGGGCACCCGAGGGGCCGCGCGGGGACCTCGATAGAGTTCCCCCGCGCCCCGAGGAGGCCCGACGAGGACAGTGCCGTGCCCCCCAGGCCCCAAAGGTGCCGATCGCAAACCACGCCCCGGCGTGGACCATACACGTCGTTGATTTCTAATCGTGCTCATGTCTAATTGTGCTCGTTTCGGATTGTTCCTGGCCCCCTAGTGGCCAGGAAGAGGCCCAGGATAGAAGAATTAGAGATGAGAGGATCCTGGCCCCCAAAAAAATCAGAGGACCTCCGAGGAGTCAGACGTGAGCAAAGTGCGCCCGTGGTAGCCGCCGATCATGCCTATGGCATTGCCTTGCTCCTCGACGACCTGCTGCAGAGCGCGCGCGCGCCCGCCCGGCGACGCGCGGCCCGCGGCCCGCGGGGGAGGGCCACGGGGCGGGAGGGGGGGACGGCCGGCCGCTCGAGCAGGTGCAGATTGGTGAAGGGGCCCTGGGGCACACCAAGAAATATACACACAAATCACAGGCTTCCCCATGTTTTCCCATCTGTTCTGGCTTTTTGTCTTCCCCCCCACTTCCCATAGTTTCCCATCTTTTCTATGGAATCGAGGATTCATTGTGTCTGTGTGTGTTTTCCCCTCCTGAATTGGGAAACAAAAAAAAACACGTGAGGCCGCCAGGATCTGTCCAGCTCGGCGGTGCGCACAAGCGGGTTCTGGAGGGAGGGGGGAGGGCCTCCTGGAAGGAGGCC